TGGTGGCTGGAGTTGAGAACTTGCAGACACTATGCTTGACTGCAGGGAGCCTCGGTGCTTCTGTGGGCCAAGCAGCAGGCGTCAGTCTGACGTCCCATTCTCTCCTCCCTGGAGATTGGGTCTGTGTTTGTCATCCTGGCCAGCCATTCCTTAGCTAGGCACTGTGCTGACACAGGCTTGTCAGGCGTGACTTTAGCTCACGGCTGCTAAGTCTCGACTTTCTTCCTGTGGAACGGGACCCTCATGTACGCTCTGTCGCTCCTTCACAAAGACACAATGCAGGCTGGGCACAGTGGCTCACGCCTGTAATCCTAGCACTCTGGGAGGCCAAGGTGGGCGGATTGCTCAAGGTCAGGAGTTCAAAACCAGCCTGAGCAAGAGCGAGACCCCGTCTCTAGTATAAATAGAAAGAAATTAATTGGCCAACTAATATATATAGAAAAAATGAGCCAGGCATGGTGGTGCATGCCTGTAGTCCCAGCTACTTGGGAGGCTGAGGCAGTAGGATTGCTTGAGCCCAGGAGTTTGAGGTTTCTGTGAGCTAGGCTGATGCCATGGCACTCACTCTAGCCTGGGCAACAAGGCGAGACTCTGTCTCAAAAAAAAAAAGAAAAAAAAAATGACACAATGCAGCCAGATGAGACAAGGCCTGCCAAGTGCTTGGCAACTCATGAGAGGCTCATGATTATACAGACAACCTGAGACAAATCATGCTCCCAGAAAGGCAAATGCCCACAAAGCCTGCTGTTCCCTGCTTTGGGTCTTGTCCTCACATGGCAGTAATAGGGGCTTCCACTGCCACCATTCCAAATCTCCTCTGGAGACAGGGAGGAACCGGAACTAGAGTTTCAGGTTCATTTCCATGGAGCACCATGGGGGGAAATTAACTCTTTTGTGGACCGTAGGGGAAGGGAACTCTGGTAACTCATGGGCAGCCCTGGTGTGGGGCACCTTGCTGGGAATTTCTTGGGCAGGCTTTAGAAGCACAAGCAGAGGAAGTGGCCATGTTCCCAGGGAGGAGAGTGAGGTGTATGTATGTGTGTCAACTCCCTGGGGCTGCTATAACAAGTTACTACAAACAGGCTTAAGACAATAGAAATTTATTCTTTCCCAATTCTGGAGGCTACAAGTCTAAGACTGAAGTGTAGGCAGTGCCATGCTTACTCTGAAATCTTTAGGGGAGGGTCCTTTCTTGCCTCTTCCTTGCATTGTAGCTGCATAATCCCAATCTCTTCCTCTGCCATCCCATGACCTTCTTCTTTGGGTCTCCTCTATATATCTATATCCAGATCTCCCTCCCTTTCTCTTATAAAGATAACAGTCAGTGAATTTAGGGTCCACCTTAGGTATGGCCTCATTTTAACTTTATTTAATCTGCAAAGACCCTTTTTCCAAACAAGATCACATGGTACCTCGTGGGGGACAGGTAGGACTTGAACATACATTTTTTAGGAACAGGATTCGATATACTGCAGTATGCAAGGCAAGGAAGGAAGGTTAGGTAAGATGGAATTTAGGGAGATTCTAATGCCAGGCTAATTACCTGGGCTGTTGTTTTGTATACAGTAGGTATGAGGAGCAGAAGATTCATGGAAACATGAGATTAGACCTTCCTTAGAACCCTAACTCTGGCAGCAAGATATAGGATGGGAATATTGAGAAAGACTACAGGCTGGCTGGCTGTTGGGAGGTTATTGCATCAGTCTAGCAGACAAAGGCATGGCCTGCCAATGGGAATGAAAATGGTAGGTCTACGGAGGAAGTATCATGTAGGTGGAACCAACCATTTGGTCATTGATGGAATGGTGGATGGGAGATGGGAATAAAGAAGAGGAGAAAGAGGTGGGATGTAAGGGGAAGTGAGAGAGAGAGAGAGACAGACAGACAGACAGACAGACAGACAGACAGACAGACACTCTGGTTACACAATCCAAACAGATAAAGAAAAAAAGTAAAGATAAATTAAATTTTCAGTATTTGGACTATCAGGTTCTGACAGCTAATCCACAAAGACAGATTAATCAGAAAGTTGGATATATGCATGTACAATTTGAGCAGGAAACATAGATTGCAAGATAGTTTGCAACAAGGAAAAAGAAACTTAAGGTTTGTTCCAGGTTTACTGTCTCCTGTTTGTTAAAATTTTGGATGGGGAGATGAACAGGAATGTGGGGACCAAAGGGGGCTAAATACTTGGCATTACTTTATTAAAAATTTAGGGAATAGAAACAAATAGAGAGCTCCAAGCCATGAAAATCTCAGAAGCAACAAAGAGTATTGAAATATTTCCTTGGGAATCACTATAGTCACACAAAATAGAGGTCCTGGTTCCATCTTAAATATACCCATTTCTGCTTCCATTTGACTTTAATGAATAAACCTACTGAGGCCCAGTTGCCAATCTGTTTAGTTCAATATGAATAAGTCAAATAATGAAAGGGGAGGAGGGAGGAAGGAAATGAGGAAGAGAGATAGAGAGAGAAAAAAAGAGACCCATTTTACATTTTTAAAAATAGTTATTTTGAACAAAGCACTATTCACTGGTAGTAATCTACATTCTGATGAGTTCAGTGTATTTTGGGGGTAATTGTGGAATAGTTTGGAGACCATTTGTAGACATATTGGAAGCCCAGTGGTAAAAATATAAGATGATAAAATCAGGAAAATGGGTTGACTAGAAAACTCAGATAGGATTGCTTCTTTCTCCCATTTTTATTCTGGGCATCTGTCTTATCAATGACATGCAGGGATCAATTGCATTCTAATTTGTTGTGAAATTAGCTATAAAGGAGTATATTCAGCATTTTCTATGGTGGGGACAATAAAAGTAGGGAGTGGTGGTGGTTAATTTTGAGGAATATATTTGAACTGTAAAAAAAGTGACTGTAAATTTGTTCTATTTGTATTTAGATATTAGGTCCATTATTTCTTCTTTTTTATTTCAAGGGTGGCTTCTGTTCAGCTATTCTGAGTTCCTTAGCTTTTATAAAAATATTAATGAAGGCTCCATGTCCATCCTTCAAAAACTCTTGTACTCATGTGGAATACAAGGTGACCTCTCTCTTGAAAGTATTATTTTTTCTGGATATTTGAACAAATTTTGACATTTGTTATTTCTTTTGGTACCTTGCTTTTGGGGCTGAGAATGGGTTTTGATTTTTGAGGTAATTAAAATTAATGTTTACAAATGGAAATTTATAAAAATAAATGAGCTGGCCTCTGCTTTCAGGAACTCAAAATCTAAAAAAAAAAGAATCCAACATCTACAAATAATTACAGTCATGACTGGCTATCTAATTTGTGGGGTCTCTTGTTTCAAAAACTAAGAATTTTGAGATGATAACCACATACCATTAAACCAAGCAGGGGCTATTCTGAACTAGGGACTCCATGTTACATGCCCATAAAGCTGGCCCTAATTACAATATTAATCAGATACTGCAAGAGAAGATGGCGTTGGGGAAGTGTATGTGTAAATGGGGCCCTCACTTCCTCTCTGACCCCATTTCTGACCATTCTTTCTCTTCACCACCGACGTTCTTGCTATGTATTTAAGATGCAAATCATGACACCTCTGGCTTTTGCCCTTGTCCTTTCCTCTGCCTGGAACATATTTCCCGGATCTTTACCTGGCTTACACCCTTGCACAAGTCTATGCTATAATATCACCAGAAATACCACTTTCTGTCACTGTCTTCCTACCTTATGTTACCTATCCAAGAATTTTATCTCTGGCTGACCAAATTTGTCTGTGTGATTCATGTTTCTGGATGTTTTTCCCCAGACAGAATGGAAATCGTGTGTGGAGAGAGGCTTTATTTTGTTTACAACACTATCCTCAGAACCCACAAGAGTTAGCACACATAAGTGACTCAAGACATAATTAAATGAATGAATAAATGAATGAATGAAGAATGAATGAAGACGTGTTGCTGCAGACTTATTCTGCCTAGGGGAACCCAGTAGCTCCCAGTCGGTTCTGGCCTTTGATGAATGAGTTGACTTTCGATGGCGGGTAATGAATAAAGGGCGTCCCATGCTTACGAAAGGACAGGCATGAAAGAGCATGGCGTGTTTAGAAATGTTTTTGTACATTCTGCTCTACTGGGACTAGTATCTAGCAAATGCTAATCCTCTCCATTATATGGATTTCATAAGCTCTGCGCAGTTCACACACATTATTCACTTTCTTAACAAATTCATTTTTATCAACAACTGATGGCATGTTTCAGAGTGTCTCCTCCACTCACAGACCTGTTTTGCCTAGGTGGCCATGCTTGGTTATCTATTGCCTCACCATGGTTGCCATAGATGATTGAAGGAGAAGTGGACACCTGAACCAATGCCAACCAATCAGCTTTCTGGCCAGTGACCAATCAGCCTTTCTCTTAAAAATTTGAACCAAGAACCAAGACAGAGGCTCTGTCCAGCTGGTGATGGCTATTGTACCTAATAGACTCAGGACTGGTGTTTATGTTGAGTACATCGAAGGATCAGAAGAGGCAGTGACAAAAAAAAAAAAAAGAAAAAGAAAAAGAAAACCAAAAGACACTGGGAAATAGAAAAAGAAGGAAGACCACAGGGCTGTTGAGTAATGAAGAAGCTTTCTTTCTGAGAGTTTGCTGGTCATATAGACCAGCTGTGTTTTTGGTTCCTCTCTCTACCTATGAGATCACTTTCAATCCTTATAATAACCCACTTGGTACACTCAACACCCCAACCCTTTGAAAATCAGGCCAGAAATTAACCGGAATTAACCATAAAAGACAACTACTGGGAAATGCATCTTTCTCATTACTCAAATACTCATTTAAACAGTATTTAATGCAAGGTAGCATAATGTATAACTACACACTATCATAGATATTGTAGGAGATTTTTTAAAAAGTGTTAATAGTAAGTAACAACATTCATTCTCTTGAGAAAGGATATAAATTTTGCTGAGAAAACAGGTAATACACGTGTCACAAAGGGTGAGTAAGTTCCCAGGTGTGGAGAGATCTGTGTAGACAGCATTGGGGAGATTCGAGCCAGCTCTGGAAGGATAGGTAAGATGGAGGAGTTTCTTTCAGGTGAGATGAATTGAATGAAGCCTTGAGTAAAGTGTCTGGGGGGACACGAAACTGTCCTTAGAGCACAGTGTTCATGTGTGCAAGTACACGAACTAAAGCTGTTTGGATTCATCGGAAATGTTGGAGTCTTTGTTTGATATGCTGGCTGAGGCATTTGGGCTTTATTCAGGAGATAGTGAAGAATCACTGAAGGGTTTTGATTGGAGTAGTCACATTTAACAATTTTTGCATTGAGAAATTAATCTATTGGATTCCTAGAGCAGAGGTACAACAAATGCTTTGGTGCCCTGTAACCCATGTGCTGATCCACCTCTGATTTCAGCTGCAGTTGGAATGGACAGCTCCCAAGCACACTGATAGAATCCCATTCGAGGGCAGCCTTCAGGACCACCTCTGGGCTTCCTTTCAGCAGGGCTTTCTCTGAAGCCAGGAGTGACATGATCCATTGCAGAGAAGCCCAGAAATATGGAGGAGCCACATTTGCCAAGGTATTCTTCAAACTACTGGGGAATGAGAGTCAGGGGTAAATGCCCCAGTCTCTAATCCTTCAGAGAGACATGGCAGGCACATTCTGAAAGGTCTCTCAAAGGGTCTCAGAAGTCCACAGTCCTGTCAGAACAATAATGTCCCTTCTGGCTGGACATGGTGACTCACGCCTGTAATCCTAGCACATAAAGAGGCCAAGATGGGACTCTCATAAACCTTCCAAATTTTCAAAAAATTGAAATTCACTTCAACTGAATATAATTCAGGGGCAAATACTCTTGAAATAATCCATAAAGAATTTGTTTCTTAATATGAGATTGGCATGTCACTTGGCCACTGTCTTATTTTCCTTAAGTATAATATAGGAAAAATTAGTTACACACATTTTCTTCTTGCTGGTGTAACAGAAAAAAATAGGCATCTGTTGTGCTTGGGGTTGATTTTGACTTGCTCAAAGCTTGCACTCTGCACCAAGTGCATGCCAATAAGTTGTTCCTATCATGTGCCAGTCGAAGTAGGGTGTGGTTGGTAGGTGGGTCAAGTAACCAAATGTTGCAGTGAGAACTTGTTGGGTGCCTATGTAGTGTGTGAACCTGAGCTAGATAGTGGGCATCCCAGTCTGCTCCAGCTGCCATAGCAAAAATGTCAGATTGGGTGGCTTAAACAACAGAAATTTATTTTTCACAGTTCTAGAGGTTGGAAGTCCACCATCAGGGGACAACAACACGCACAGGCTCAGAAAAACACTCTCCCCCGCGCGCACACACACCACACCCTCACACGGGCCCCCCCACACAGGGGGGGAGAGAGAGAGAGAGATCTCTCTCTCTCTCTCTCTTCTGCTTAGAGAGCCACTAACTCTAACATGAAGACCCCCACTCCCATGACTTAATGTAACCTAATTGCTTCCTAAATGCCCCATCTTCAAATACCATCACATTGGAGATTAGGGCTTCACCATATGAATTTGGGGGCCATATCAGGGTCCAGCAGTACAGTGAAAATATAGGACCCGTTATCTAAAAGGTATTAGACATTTGAAGACAGCAACTGTAGAGCATTAAACCAAGGATAAACCTCTTCTGAGGACAGGGCCCTGTTTATTGGTCTCCACTTCCAATATAAAGGGATTTGGATTCCCTTGGAATGGAATCCAGGCTCCATGTCTCACTAGCTGTGTGACCCTGGACATGTTTCCTCATTTTTTTGAGCTTCAGCTGTTCATCTACAAAATTAGTATAATAATACCTATGGTATACGGATAGTCTCAGGACTAAATTAAGTGAAATGATGTGTAAAGTGGCCACTTAGTACCTGTTTTTGGAGTAGACATGTGTGTGTCCAAGGTGTCAAGATCTCTTCTTCTGAGTTTCTCTGTTTGCTAAGTAACATGCAGGGCAAAGCTCTGTGTGCTCATAATGCACAGTTTTACATACATCCCTGGCAACATGTCTGTGGGATGTGGTAGTGTCTCAACTTGGAGTGCATTGGGAGAATAATCCATTAAAGAGGGGAAAAAATCAATAACACAATTAGGAACCATTTCATCCTATAATAACACCAGCTGCCTTAAAGTCCACTGCTACCGAGTCTGCCTCTAATGGTGTGTGCCGCCTGCTGCTCCAGCCAGCCCCTCTTCCTTCCCATGGTGTGATGTCCTCTTACGACACCAAGGATATTGAAAATGCAGCAGACACAAGGCATAGATATTACAAAAAGAAAATCAAAGCCCCAAGCTCCCCCTCCAATTTCTTATACAAAATACTTGGGTCAACAATATACTGCCTTAATGAACAATAGGACACACCAATTTATTAAGGTACTAAACACACACCACCCCCTTCACTAAATGCCATCAACAATGCAGTTTTGATTCTGTGCATATCTTCGACCTGGTTTTCTCATTTTCCTGGTTCTTCTTTCCTGCAGAAAGGATTTAGAGCATGAGGACTGAGCTGATTTTGCTCTAACAAGAAAGCCAGAAGAACTGCTTGAATATTCCTTGGGAAATTTTGTATTAGGAATGACTCGCAATGTCCACCATTTCCATATCTAGAAAATGGTTTGGTTTTCCACCTTTGTCTTTGATAATTGTTGTCCTCCATGACCATTTGTTCATTGATTCACCTGAGAACCACGCGTGCAGTGTTCGCTATGTGTTAGACTTTGTGTTGGGGGTTATAAAGTTCATGAAGAAATAAAAATTTTTGACCAAATAAAGGTCATTTCCCCAAAGGAAGATCAGCCATGAGCATAATTTTTAAGGTCACATGAAATTTAGGAAATTATTTTAGTTCTGTTTGGAGGCAAAATAATTAAGATCAAAAAATAATTTAAACTTTTAATGGTTAGACATGTTCTTTATTCACTCTAATGTAATTTAAAAGTGTGTATCTTATAGTTGAAAAAGATAAAAAAAAATCCCAATAGGACAAAGTGGATATAGAAAAGCAATTTGAGGATGCTACTTTGATTCTTTAATTAAGCATTCCCAAAGCCTCTCTCCCACATACGAGAAAGTCCCACACGCAGGTCTTCTTTAAGGTTGAGTGTTCGGTTTGCCCTTGAGCCTTTCTTCTTGTTTCCATAACATCACTCAGATACTCAGGGACCGGCAATCAGTTTTTAAATGGCTCCTGGAGACTAACCACCCGGGCCCTGCCTCCAGCACAAGCACATTGCTCTCTTCCTCTCCATCTCACGTTCTCAAGGGGAAGAAAAAGCACTTACAAGTCGATCTTTCAGGGGTTCAACCCACAGGCCCCCTTTCTCATTTTCTAAAGCTCAAGAGGAACAAGAAAATCACTCTCATGGAATATGATGTTGGTACTCCCTGCTTGCTGCCCCGGGCCCTTACTCCTGACTCGCTTCCCTTTGCTCCTGAGGCTTTGGGGCACTGGAGGGTGCATTCCCCCAGCTCTCAGTAAGGCATGTGGGACCATGAGAGCCCACCTGTCCACGTGTGCCCCGCCCACTTCCTTTTCCTGACCTTCGCAGAGAAAGCCAGTCGATGGGCTACCCTGGCACTTGTCACCTTGGTGCAGCAAGACATCAGCCATCTCCAGACTGGGTTTTGAGCTGCATTTCCCAGTTAGCTGATCATTTTACTTTCTCTGTGTGTTGAGGAGGGGCTGTCATGTCCAGTAAATAAATAACGGCAATTAAATCTAATGCTTGACAAATGACAAATGCTCATCAATGAGGTCAGGGAAGCATATCAGTTCTCACATCAGAATTACATTATTGCAAGTGGTATGGTTTGGGATTTCCCCCCTCATAGTTTTCATGCATTAACTACCACTTGGGACAGGATGCCGGGTGCACTGACTATCCATTACTGTGCAGGTCCCCGAATTGCATTTAGTCTAAGAGTTTTGCTTGCATTTTCATAGCAGCTTTATTCAACTTGTTGCTTTGGATTAAGCTTTCATTTCAGAAGAGATCTTGAAAGAAGAGAAATACTTATGTCTATGGTTCATTGGCAAGGAGAGAGCACAAAATGCTGTCATCCGCCAGGCCATTTGCTAGTTAACTTATTTGCACATCAAAGATGGTAACTATGCTGCAATACTAGCTGCTTGTCCTTTTAGGACTCAAAATATCTCAAATTTTAAAATCAGTGTAAGTTTTATATGTACATTGTATAATTCTATTAGCTAATTACTTTCAAGTTTTCTAATTTTATAACTCAAGTTCCAATAATCAATTTGATTTGATAACCAATATCGATGAATGTTTTATAAAAGGGGCAATTTTCTGTCTTCCCTTTCCATCCTCTTCTCATCCTGCATTCTTGAAATCAAGAAAAATGCTAAGAATTGTCCATTTCTGGACACACCTGTGATGTTGGATGCTTCTGGTGTGATTAATTTCCAGCTCCCCTTTCATTGTGCTGCTGAAGAGTAGCTGTACTTTTCGCAGAATCACCCAGAATAACCAGTAACCGATGGGAACTACTTTCTTTCAATAGACTCCACAACCACAGTCTGGCAAGCTTTAGAAAGGGCTCTGAAGTGCTTCATAATATGGCTTTTGCTTTCACACCCCTTACCCTGGTTTAGTCATTCTAAATTTGTTTTACCCTCAATCCAAATGAAGAACACTTAAGAGTTCAGGAGGCAGGAGGTGCTCTTATTGCAAGGCCCAGGCAGATGAGTTGTTTGAAATAGTGTTTTGTATTTATTTTTAGGCAGTGCTTGGAGAGGAAAGGGAAGAGAATGGAGATATGAATAATTAGTAACATTTGTTTCTGGCTACCAGAAATATATATGTTCAAAGTATTCAACAGAAAACTTGGAAAAGAAAAAAAACAACACAGGAAAAAAGTAAAAACCACTTGAAGCCAAACAGTGCCTCTGACAACATTTTTGTGGCCTTCTGTATTCACATACATTCACATTTACACACACAAATACTGGTTGCCATGTGTGCCCTTTTATAAAAGGAGGGAATTTTATTATACAAACTTTTTTACTCTGTTCTTTTTGCTTTACAATTTATTGTGAACATTTTCTTCTGAAGCAAGTATAACAGCTGCCTCATGTCTCTTCTTATGGATGTGTCAAAATTTACTTTACCAATGTCCTCCTCTGGGAAATTTAAGCTGTCTTCCTTCCTTAGGCATTATACATATTTCTATCTCATGATAATCTTTGCTTTGAACTGCATTTATTTCCTTAAGATAAATTCCCAGAAATGGAATTGCAGGATTGTATGATATATACACATTTTTGAAACTGTTAATACCTATTGCCCAATTTCCCAGAGAAAAAAATGATAGCATTTTATACTCACATAAACAATGGGAGCACCCACTTCTGTACTGTCATGACAGACATTAATAGTACAACATCAAATGTGCCAGGCACTAAGTCAAGGGTTCCATATTGCTTTTTTTTCACTTAATTCTAATAACCATCTTCTGGAGTAGTACTGCTGCCATTTGAATTCTGCAGATGTGTAAAATGAGCATTAGAGAGCTTGCATTAATTTGACCAGAATC